AGTGAACTTCACACTGAAGTCTGTGGCTATGACAGTACATGTCTACAGGGAACTGGACTAACCTATGCTACTTACCTCCCTAGCATATTCTACAACATCAGCTTGTGCCTCATCCCAACCACTGGAATGAACGCAATGCATCTTCTTGGGGTCTTGGGTCACTAGTGTCATAAGCATCTGCTTCTAGAAGGCCTGTAGTACGCCCAGTGAATGACTGGGGCAGTGGGGTTAGGCCATCAACAAGGCATCAATGCCAAAGGAGTCCCCACTGGGAAAAGCCACAAACACCATAGATGTTATCAACCATCTCTGTGAGAGGAAAATTAGTTTCAGCAAAACAACATCATTAAATTAATTATACAGAGTTGACAAGTTTTGTGTTGGTTTTTCGGTATTGTTTACATTAAAATTGTAAACTCATTTGCTTTTAAGATAGTATGAAAGTAATAGACAGAACTTGCTTCAAGCTTACGTACTGGCCTAGTTCGAATTGCTGGGATTAACCCCATTAGCAAGGGTTGCGCAGGTGGTCATTCAGTTTATACTTCCAGGTCACATTCTGTCACTGAGGAAAGTGAGGGCAGAAACTGAAGAAGAAATCATGGAGAAACACTGTTTACTGGCTCTCCATCTCACAGTGAGCTACCTTCCAACAGCTCTGAGAGATGATACTGTCCACAGTGAGCTGGGCCCTCTTACCTCAATTAACCAGTCAAGAAAATTTTTCACAGGCCACTCCTATGGAGACAAGCCCTCAACTGAGGTTCCCTCTTCCCACGTCTTGTCAAATTGACAACCAGCCTTAGCTATCATACCTATACTTAACAATCACAATACATAACTGAATATATGAGTCTCCGTTACAGTTGCTCTGTTTCAAATAACCCCAAACACAGGTTTAAAAAACTGTTAAGAGCAAACCAAATGCCAATTCCAGCATAAGCCCGAGAGGAAAGCCAGAATGGAGCAGGACTGGCCCGGATGGTGCCGAGCAGGCTGGAGGGAAGAATACTGACAGAGGGGTTATCTAGTCTGCCTATCATCTAATTTCAGTATCTACCGCGATGGCTCCAAGACCCCTGGAGCCACTGAAATCCAAGAACAGCGCCTATTGAAGGGCATATTGTTGGCATAGAACCCAGCCACATCGCACAGCACTTCATCTCTGGACTACTCATAATGCCTAATGCAATGTAAATATCCAGTTCTCTCCCGATGTCACCCCACTTCTCTTCTTACCCTCTACTTGAAGAACAAAGTCCATTTTGCTCTCAATGGTTCTTTAAATGCAAAGCATAGACAAAAAAAAGTATATGGAAAAGAATAAGAGAATAATACGGGAATATTTTATCACATATGAGCGATCCTTAAAAGAAAAAATAAGTAAAAACCTGTGATTTAAAGATTTTAAAACTGGCACCTGATAAAGGAATAAAGTTCACATAACATAATATTTGATAAGGGTGGAGTTTCTGAGTCACTCGGATTGAACCAAACTTGAGTCAGCACTATCAAGAACATTGTCAAATATCATTTACAGATATAAGGTATGTCATGAAATAAGCGGATAATCATAGGAGTAATAATGCTTGTAGCTGCTTGCCAGCTATCATACTTGGAGTTTAAACTCGAGTCAAGATGGATATGTTAAACCATCACCCTTTTCCTCAGAGTGGGTACAAAAATAGAATGGACTCATTTAAAGTGAAATCATGTAAGCCTGTCAAACCAAGAATGCTGGAATCTAAAGGCAAGAAGAGCAACCCAGCTAAGGCGTTCAAGACTAGCCTGGGCAACACAGTGATACCTCATCTCATAAAATAAACAAACAAATAAGTAAAAATGGAAACACTTGCAGCTCTTCAAGAGGACCTGAGTTTGATTCTCAGCACTCACATGGTAGCTCACAGCTGTCTATAAACTTCAGTCCCAGAGAATCTGATACGTCTTCTGGCCTCTATAGGCAATGCATACATATACTGCAGACATATACATGCAAGCAAACACATAAAATAAAATTTAAATGTGGTTCAGCTCAGTATGGTAATGCTATGCTGTGATTCCAAACTCAGGAAGCTGAAGCAGCTGGATTTCAAGTTCAAGGCCAGCCTGAACTGCATAGTAAGACTTTGTCTCAAAATACAAAGAAACAACATCAACAACAATTAAAAACCTACAAGATAAAAATATCTAATGCAATTAATAAGCAATCGTCCATACAACCAACTAAAGAAACCTGGGTCAGGAGACATGCATAGTTTTACTGGGACAGGCATGTACATATAAACCAAAAGAGAGCATGCACATGAGTGTAGTGCCATGTGCCAATAAACCTGGGACTCTAGAGGCAGAGACAAGAAGAGAGAGAGCTCGAGGCCAGTCTTGGCTGCCTAAGACTGCATCAAACAAACACATACACAGGAATGCATGCAGAAAAATTCTACTCATTAAGAGTAGAAATCAAACACTGCTATTTTTGGTTAAACCAGTTATATTAGAAAATCATTGTAAGTGAAATACAAGTTTAATTAAAAACCTAAAGTGGATCAGGGACACAACTACTAAACTAGTTGAAGACCTCCTCAGATCGGCAGGAGGAAAGTCAGGAGAGCCAGACTGGAGGAGGAGGGCTCCCTCGGTGGGCCTGGGAAAGCATAGGGCAAGTCCTTCAGACCTAGCCGCCTCAGAGTGCTGGCATCCAGCAGCCGCCGCTTGGCCTGGAGTGTCCTCTTCGGGGAACAGAAGTGGATTGGTGAGCAAACAGCAGTACTCTCCTATCTCACACATCTTTTGCTTCAAAAGTCCCCATTTGACAGTTGATGTGTGTCTCTGTGTGTGTATGTGTTGTGTGTGTGTGTTGGCATGCCTATGATCAACTGAAGTGACTTTTGGGAGTTACTTATCTCCTCCCACTAGGGGTTGCAGGCTATGAACTCAGGTGGTCAGGCTTGCGTGGCAAACACTTTTACCCAATGAGGAATCTCACCAGTCCTGGGAATTTATTGAATGAGAAATAAAACAGTTCCTTCCACAATGAGAAGAGTACTAACTGTGTGTCAGTTACAGTACTACATTCTAGAACAATAGCACGTTTATACATTCAAGGGCATAAGGCTGAATTCAAGAGGCAGGGTACCATCATGTCCAACCTAGGGCCTGCCCACAGGTTGCATTCTTCCCAGGACAGCTGTGAACGCAGATCCCATCCTCAAAAGGTTGGCCATTCCTGGTGCCCTCAGGGACATGTGAGAGAACAGCCCCAGAGAGGGTCGAGAAACACATGATCTGATTCACAAAGCTAGACTGAAGAATCCCAAGAAAGTATGTAATATCACCAGTGAAATAAAATACGTGTCAGGAAGTATTTTCACCTTGTGAAACATCAAATGTAGATCACCCACCATGCAAAGCGTGAGTCGGCCTGGCACACTGGGGAAAGGGGTGGCCCCTCTGAGGAGAAATCATGCTCCCCAGTGCTCAATAAGATTGGTTCTGAGACCTCAACCAAGATTTCAAACCAGAACCAGATACAAAGGGAGTTCACATTTGTGTAGACAACCACTCAAAGAACTGCAAAGAAGCCATATTTTCACAAACCATGTAAATAATTATTATCATAGTAGTCTCAAATTCAGATTAATTGACAATGGGCATAAACATATTTTCTTTATTCTGGAAAAATAACATGTGGTGCATAAATATTTGAGCACTGGGTATTGCTAAAACCAAAAGTGATTTGGAAGGCAATAATTTCAAGACATCTCTCTAAGAGAAATCCTTGCTAGTAATACAGTGTTCAAATATAGATCAGAGGCTGAGCGCTAAGTCTGCTTCAGGCAAACACAAACCCTACTCATGTAGTCTTCCCTCCACCACCTGAGCATGGACAGCACCCAGAGGCACCCAGAGGCCTCTCCAGACAACGTTAGTGCCTCATCAAAACCAAAGACCAAGAGTTTCGCCTCTGAAGCCGAAGCCTTCCCAAGCTTCTGTTTTAGACACAAATGGGCCCCAGGAAAGGCAATAGTTAAGCTTTAGCCGTGTAGTAATTCACTTGGTTCTCAGTGTGAGAAAGTCTGGAGTGAGAAACTTTTTTAAGTTGTAAAAATCGAAGGGTAAGTTCTGGAGGAGAAATGAGTAAAGAATATCCTGTCGAGAGGGGTGTGGAAAAGGAAGCAGAATCCAGATACCTACATCTATCCTAAGTCTAATTGAACTTAGACCCGAACGCTCACCAGTGACCAACACCACACGTGATGCAGGCCAGAATGTAGTACTCACAGAAAACTCTCGAGGGCTGTAAATAAAATCCACCGGTACTGTACGGTGTCCAAACAACCTGTCAATGGCCAAACTGCACACGTGTATTTTTTAAAAGTCAAATCAATGACGAGTCATTGTCGTATGAAATTACTTTTCTAAAATATTACTAAACTCGCTAGCTTCGTTTTTAACACTGAAAACCATGCTCTTGAGTCCACTCTTCCCCCGGAGTTTTTGTTTGTTTGTTGTTTTTGTTTGTTTGTTTTGAGACAAGCTGACCTGTCATTTCATTCTTAATTCAGGCTAGCCTCAAACTCCAAGCATTCCTCCTGCCTCAGCCTTGCCTGTGCCGGCACCACGGGCGGGCGTGTACCACCATGCCTGGCACTCTCTAGGACGTTTAAAAAGAAAAACAAAACAACAACAAAATGAAAAAACAAACAAAACAAAAACACAGCCAGGCACCGAAACCTTGGCAACAACAAACAAAAGTGAAAGTCTTCACATCTTTTCGGCTACAAGAGCTGGCTCTGGAGGGTAGTCTGGGGATCTTTCCCTTCCCGGTGTTGCCAGGGAAGTAAATAGGAACCACCAGTAACAGAATTGGTTGGCCACCAGCAGGGGAGCCCTTCAGCTTTTGTCCCCAATCCATTCAAACAAAAGAAGCTCGGTTTGGGCTTCTTAACCAGGGTCCCGCACCCCGCGGGGCCCTGCACACCCCCGGGCCCGCCACTCACTCCTCAGCGCCCCGATGAGCAGAGAGCCATCCTTCAGCAGCTCTTTGATGAACTTGTTGGTTCTCTCCAGCTCGATCTCGTGACACTGAAGTCTCTCCCTGAAATCCGGGCTGTCCAAGTACGAGTCGCTGAACTCCAGAGTGGGCAGCCCCATGGCCCAGGCGCGGCGGCCGCGGCAGCGGCGGGCGTGGGGGACACTGCGAACGCGGGGGAGCGCGGGGAAGCGCGGAGGACCGGGCCCCGCGCGCAAGGCTCAGTGCAGCTGCCCCGAGGCCGGGCGGAGGCTCAGGGCGCTGTCACCGGGGTGCATCGTCGCTCTCTCGCTAGCTCGCTCGCTCGCAGCGTGGGGGTAGCGAGGCTGCGGGCTGCGCCGCAGAGCACAGCCTCCTGGCAGCGCCACTCGCGGGCCGTGGGGACAGTGGCGCGCACTTAGCCGGCGGCGCCCCGCGGCGACTCGGGCCCGCAGGGAAACCCGCCCCCTGTGCCGAGTGCACGCGGCCCGGCCGACCCTCCTCCGCGCTCCCCGCCCCTCGCTGTCCCCGCCCGGTCCCCGCCCGGTCCCCGCCGTGCGCACTTCGCTCCCGGCGCCCGGCACTGCTCAGCAGCCTCGCCCCGAGCGCGACCTGTTCCCCTCGGGGCCCATTGTGACCGCCCGCCCCTGTGCGCCCCAAACCATCTCCAGCCCCCAGCGTCCCTCCCAGGCACACGGGAAGAGACGCCCACGTTAACTCTGGCTAAAGTCAGTATCCTCAAGCCTGCTGGAATAAACTACTTCCCAGACACGTTCAGGTTTCACTTCAGGATCCTGCCCATATGTCCAAGGTGAAAGGGTGTTCGGCCTGCTTCCCAGCCCCGCTGCCCTGACCAGCAGTGAGGTGTCCTGGGTGTCCCATCCCCACCCCCAGTCTGTAAGAAGGTGGGAAAGTTTTTTAATTTACATATTTTAAAACCCCAGTTTTAGTGTCTCAAATTGATACCTGGGTGGGCAGGCCTACAAACCCGGAGATTTTCAAAGTGTTGACCTGACCAAGCCTTTCAAAGGAATCGTTAATTCCTTCTCTGGTGGTAGTGGTGACCAATATCCTCACTCAAGAGGCTGAAAACAGAATTGCTGAGAGTTCAAGGTCAATATGGACTACACAACAAAACCCTGTCCCTGGGGTAAAAAGAATTCCTGCAAAGCGGAAGTTACCCTGCAGCAGAGGTTCACCTAGTAAGTGTGAGTTCTCTTGACATCCTGGCAGCACGAGAGGCCACTGTCCCATCCTGCGTCGTGGGTAGGATTTCTGAGAACTCTGTTACTTTTCTTAAGGATCTGCTTTTCATTTCTACATTTCCATTGCTTTGTGCATTTGAGCCATCTGTTTTAAAAAAAAATGTACAAATCATGGGAAAAAAATCCATCAAAGTGCTTTACATTTTTTTTTCCCAATTAAATTTCAGGAACTTTTAGCTTCAGTTTTTTTCAAGCATTCAATAACATTAAAAATAGCATGTATACTTTAAAACAGACAAAATCATGTAAACAATATGCTTGATGGCATGTTTTAAATTATTCTTTTAAAAGCTCACATCCATATATCCTTTTCTTCCTTTCTTTCTTTTTGTTTTGTTTTGTTTTGTTTTTTCAAGACTGAGTTTCTCTATGTACCAGACCTGGCTGTTCTGAAACTCACTCTCAAGACCAGACTGGCCTTGAACTCCCAGAGATTTGCCTGCCTCTGCCAACTGAGTGCTGGGATTAAAGGTGTGTACCACCACACCCGGCTCACATTTTCATTATTACTCTGCTCACATTTGAAAAAAAAAAAAAAAGTGTGATCATCATTACATTCACTTTATTTTATTTTTATTATATTTATTTATAGGGAGCGGGCATACACTTGTGACACTGTGGAAGTCCGAGGACACTTTGCTGCAGTTGGTCCTCTCATCCCATCATGTAGATACCAGGGATTGAACTGAGATTCCCAGGCCTGGCTGCAATCGCTTTTGTCTGCTGAGCCATCCTGCCAGCCCCAGTTATTTTAATTTCCGAGTGTGGAGCTTGTCTGTCAGTTGCACGTATGCCTCATTTGTAAGCACGCGGGAAGACAATGATGCTGTCTGTCAGGGGGCTGTCTTTCATGTACTGTGATTTCACATCTATTTGTCAGACAAACTGAAGGACAGAAACCCAGTAAGACCTAACATGTCCCCGTTCCAAGCCCCTAAACACCACGGACCTGTCTGAAACAGCATAAAACAGAACAACTGCTTCTTCCATCCCATAACTTAAGACCAGTTCTGTGAACTATGCATCATACGCTTTGATAAACAAATTTCAACGTTGGTGGCTGTTGCTCAGTTTTCTGCAAAAATCTTAGATGCAGCTGTAGTATAGATTCTAAGACCTGGGTTATCATTCCCTCATGTGGATAGCTAATTGTGTATTTTATGTTGACTGTCTACACCACTGCCACCCAGGTAAAGTGATTTATATGGGAAGATAAAGAAATGGTGCATCCTGCTTGACCCTGAGAGATTCTCAGGAAAGAAAATCCTGAGAAGGAGTGAGTGAGAGAAAACCCTGAAGCAGTTAGATATGCCAGAGCCTCATGAGGTGCCTCAGAATAATGTGTTTCCACTAGAGCCATTGGCCCACTGCTGTGGAACTGTGGCTTCTCTGCCTACCCCGCACCCAAGAGGATCTAAAGTACAGTGTGTTATGAATGACATTTTCTTGTAGTGCTTCCAGAGTTCTCGTGATTCAGTCTGTGATTCATGCTTTAATTATACCTGCTAGTCTAGCCTTCTCTCATGCCACATTAACCCAACTACCCGAGACACCAGAAATGGTTCGACTCGGAGATGAATTTACTGACAGTTTTGAACTATTGTTCACACACTATTGTTCTTTGACCATGATAACTAAACTTGATACTTTGCTAGAGGTAGGCTTCAAGATGAAAGCTCTCCGAATCTGCAAGTGTAAAGTCTTTTATGAAGTTTAATTTCATTGGAGGCTTTCCAGAGACTTCCACTTTCACAGAACGTGGCATTTGTTGGCTGCACAGATATTATTGACTGAACACACCCCCGGCACTGGCATGGGGCATGGATATTGGCACAGGAAATGTCTGTTTGTTTTCTTCATAAATTAGTGATGAGTGGACCTTTGTGTTTCTCTTCCACAGTGAATAGGTGGGGGGGGGGGGGAGTAGCAGATGCAATGTTGTACTCTCCCCCCAAACCTTGTTCTTTCCTGAGGAGAAGCCTCCAAAGTGTTCCTGTGAAGGTATATTTTGCAGTTATTGGGAGCAGGCCTTTCCTTAAGACTAATTTTTAGTGTTTATGTGTAAAAGTGAATATGTATGTGTCTGTGTATAAGCATGGAACATGTGGACAGGTGTCCTTGGAGGTCAGAAGAGGGTGTTGAATCTCCTGGAACAGGAATCATAGGCCACTATGATCTGGGAATCAAACTCAGGTCCTTTGCAAGAGCAGTGTATGCTCTTAACCATTGAGCCATCTGCTTGGCCCTTGAGAACAGAGGTACACCTCCAAGAATCAAATCTTCTAGGTTTACAGTGATGTTTGGGCAAAAATCAGCAAACTATGAGCAACCACAGACTCTGTAGCCTTTCTTTGAAGGAGAGTGCAGGAATATTGTCCCTGTTGACATCCCAGCTATGCATTGCCTTTTCTAAAAGGAATGCCCTCAGAGTAAAGTTTCACACAATCCCATTTCATCCTCACATCATGTCTGTGACTTCCAACTTGAGTATGCCCAAATGAAAAACAAAAACAAAACAAAACAAACAAAAAACATGTGCCAAGGTGGCAAATGCCTTTAATCCTAGCAATCTGGAGGCAGAGTCAGGCAATCTTTACCAGTTCAAGGACAGCCTGGTCTGCATAAAGAGTTTTGGGACAGTCAAGGCTACATAGAGAGACCCTGTCAATAATTAATAATAATAATAATAATAACTTTTCAAACACATGTGTTTTAGGGTTTTATTGCTGTGAAGACACACCATGACCATAGCAATTCTTAAAAAGGAAAACATTTAATTAGGGCTGAGAGATTTAGTCCATTATTGTCATGGCAGGAAGCATGGCAGCATGCAGACATGGTGCTGGAGAAGGAGCTGAGAGTTCTACATCTGCATCTGAAGAAAGCAGGAAGAGAATGCCACAATGGGTCTGGCTTGAGCTTCTGAGACCTCAAAACCCGCCCCTAGTTACACGCTTCCTCTAACAACACTACATATCCCAATAATGCCAGTCCCTATGAGCCTATGGGGCCATTTTCATTCAAACCACCACAGCATGATTCTTTTCTGAAAACTGCTTACTGTGTTTAGATATTTGTAATGTTTTCCGACTTTGCCACGCCTGCCACTAAGTACATCCCCGTTTGTGGGCAATGGACACCATCTTTCATTTCAGAACCTTTCACCCTCACCCACTCAGACTCCGGAAACTTGAGTCCTGTTGTCTGCTCCTCACAGCCCGGCAGTGACTGTTCCATTTTCCGCCTCTGTCTGTATGACTTTAATAACCTGGATTCCTCATATGAGAGGAAGCACATGAGACCGCTTTGTATCTGTTTTGTTTTACTTAGGTCAGTCATTGACACCAAAGACAAAGAGGACACATTTTGAAGTCATTTGAGTCAGCATTCAGTTTTTTAAAGGTATTTTATAACATGTATGTTTTTAATTAATGTTTATGTATCTACTTATGTATTTGCCACAGCATGTGTGGAGGTCAGAGGATGATTTGCAAGCCTTAGTTACATCTTTCTACCATGTGGGTCCCAGGGATGGAAATCAGGTCCTGAAGCTTTTCAGTAAACACCGGTACCCACTGGGTTATCTCACCAGCCCCACATTCAGTTTGGATCAATTAAGTTTCTAATAGACTCTTCTACCAGCAAGAAAAGAATACTGGGATTAGGCCCTAATGTGGCAAGTATTGTTAATCATGTTTACTTAAATCACTTAAATTACTTAAATGGAGGAGGTGACTTCTCAGGTAAGAGCACATGCTGCTCTTCCAAAGGACTGGAATTTGGTCCTCAGCACTTACATCAGGTGAGCTCATAACCCTGGGTAATTCCTGCTCCAGGGAATGAGATGCTCTCTTCTGGCTTCTGTGGGCACAAATGAACACACACACACACACACACACACACACACACACACACACACACACACATGCACGCACACACTGCACTTAAATAAAATAAATAGTACACACACACACTGCACTCTTGTATAATATTAAAGGACCAGCCTTAATATTATACTTCCCAGGGGCTCAGGAGAGAAAACTACCAATGGCAAAGACTGTTTTCGGGAAATAGAGTCTCAGCACACTGAACTCTTTAGTTCACTTGCTTTTATTTCTCTGGAATAAAATCCTGTCTACGCAGCTTCAGTTTTGTTCTCGTGCTTAGCTCCTTGCCTGATTTCTCTCTATATTTAGCTACTTCTCTCTCTAATTT